ATACGCAAAGATGGCCAAAGGGGGTTTTTTTTGGGGGGGGGGGGTTATTTAACACAACACGATGCAATGAACCACATAGGTGTGATTGGCCTAAGATGTTGATCCAAAGGTGCAACCACCACACAGTCTATGGAAACATGCATGTTTTTCATGTACAGATATTCATATCAGTCTAATCTTAGTTTGAACAACATGGATATCCCAAAAAAAGACATGGACATACAATCTTTTGCTTGTTTTTTTTCTTTTTTCCTCTTCTACAAAATTAACTACGGAATATGGAATATTCACTTTTTAGCTCATAAAGAACTTGCCACTGCAAAATCAGTGAAAAAACAAAACCTGCTCCAGTCTGCCCCACAGACCAAGTTATTCCACTCTGGGTATTGACATCTTGTCAGCTGCACAACATAAAGAAGATGAAGTCAGATTGTCAGCCACATCCTACACCTCAGCCTTGCCTGTGACAGTCGGGTGTCACTGCTTTCCGCATACATCAGTGACTACAGGGAGTAGAAAGAATTTAATATGAGAGCTTAACTGTTGACAGACAACATTTTAATATTTGAATATCAATACCAGTGCTATTTAGGCTGCCCACAATGAGTAAAGATAACTTCTTTATGTACATTGCAGGACAGAAGCTCTTTAGGTCTTATACCATTGGGTTGTGCAGCTGATTCAGGTAATTGGTACTGAGTAACATATGTTACCAAGATGTTTTCTCTAGCAAGATTCTCTGCTGCTCCATAGCCACTGTGACTGACGACGTACAGTGTACGCCGCCAGCATCGGGGCTGTTTAAACAGACTCCCGGCGACTTTTGCCGCCGGGAGTCTGTTTAAACTTGTAGAGCCGACTGTCGGCTTTACAACAGAAGCGATCCTGGCGACTTACCTGTCGCCAGATCGCTTCTGCGTCCCGAAGAAGGGGCCGCCCCCCCGCCCGGACACAGATGTTTTGGTGCCCTGCTACTAATAGTGTACTCAACATAATATATGAAACGGGTCAATTATATCTATGGGATCCCTTTTCTTCTGGACATTTGTTGCTGGCCAACTGTTCTCATTTGTAAGAATTTTCAGTCAATGCAGGAAGCTGGTGCAGTGGTCACTTATAACTCAGAAAAATAGGATGTGCCTACTTTCAAAGGCAGCAATGTTGTACAGCAGCTGAATTCTCATTGACATAAAAGTGCCTATTTCTCAGTCATTGATATAAGCCAATAGCCACCTTCCACAGTGGCCTGATGAGCCATGTTTTTTCAAAACCGCTTTTAATTTGTAAATCATCAGCTTTAAACATCTGAAGTATTTACTTTGTAGGGTGAGCAACTGAAAAATATGGAATAAAAGTTGGTATGGTTAAAAATTAGGGTTTTGCGGCCATCACACCTGTTCTGGCATATAGAGTTGGTGGTCTATCATTATCTACAGCATTGTTTCCTAAAGTGTGGGTCGTGACCCCAAATGGGGGGGTCACGATCCGAATCCCTGGCCAGGGCGGCCATCAGGGGGGGTACAGCCGTACTTGTGTGAGGGGCCCAGGCGGCAGTGGAGGCCTGTGCTCCAAGCAAGATTTTTTTTATATGTGCAGTGTAATTGTTAAGGTCGCGTGCCCCCCTTGTGCACTTGGTACGTTCCTGAGCACGTGCACGCAGGAAGGTGTTTTTTTCAGGGGCGGAGCTTTTTTAACCCAGCAGAAGCAGAGCACAGCTGCTGTAGGTAAAGGTAAGGGTGGTAGTTGTTGATGACCGAAACCATCGCTGACCGTCCCTCCATAGCAGCGGGGGGAGTTGGGAAGGAGGAGAGAGACACCGACCTACGGGGAGGAAGAGAGACATTGACTGACCCTGGGGGGGAAGAGGAGGAGAAGGACACTGGATGACCCGGGGGGGAGAGGAGAGACACTGACGGACGCAGGGGGGAGAGGAGAGACACTGACCGATGCTAGGGGGGG